CACACAGCTGGCCGCGGGGCCTTCGCAAGTATGCGTTTCCCCCAGTGAGCCTTCTTGCACAGTTGCTGTGCAAGGTCAGGGAGGACGAGGAGCAGGTCCTGCTGGTGGCACCCTATTGGCCTTCCCGGACCTGGTTCCTGGAACTAATGCTCCTCGCGACAGCCCCTCCTTCAGGATTTACTGACTCAGAGACGGGGCACCCTTTGGCACCCCCGTCCAGACCTCTGGAAATTTCATGTCTGGTCCCTGGACGGGACGGGACGCGGAGGCCCTGAGACCCTGGCCCGTCTATGTGCCCAAGGTTCCCGCTACTCCCTTCAGGGATCATCCGTTCCCTCCTTCAGGGAACGAGGGTTACCATGCGTAACTGAGACGTTTCATTTGTCTGAGTACAAGGTTTTATTTTTTTCAATTTTGCACCCTGTTTTGTCCCACTTCTCAAGAATCAGTAAACTAACAAGACTAAAAATATTCATAACAGGTTATCTACTAATATGTACTAGGCTACATGCTCAAACAAATAATAAACCTCACATTTCATTCTTCAAGCTATTGTTATATATAAAAGGATGAGTCAGGATGATAAATTACATTGTATCTATATAACATTCTACATAAGTTAACATGCATTCTAAAAATCTCAACACTTGGGATAATATGAAATAAAAAAATTCACTGTCACTGACAGCAGTTGGCGCTTTTGGAACAGCAGAAATAGCTGCTTCCACAGCTGTAAACAAAGCAGTGCTACATTTATTAGCACTGCATTATTACTCATTACACGGAGGAAAGATGAAAAGAAAATGCCATGGATACTTTACTGAAAACAGCCGGTTCTTCCTTATGCATTCATACAATTCATTCAATCACAAATTCTTTCATATGATTTCTCTCTGCAGTCTGCCTTCCGTCATATTTTCACACAAAACGAAACCTACTCTGCGTGTTGCACCTGTGTGGGACTCTATAACTTTGATTAACGCTGAACAAACATCGCTTTTACAAAATGCGATGATCAAATATGAGTTTAATTATAATTAAAATACTAAACGGCATTATTAAAATAAACTCACTGCCAATGTGTCCTGCCTGTGCACTGGAAGCTTCTGTCACCAAGACAAATTCCTTGTGTGTGTGTGTGTAAGCACACTTGGCAATAAAGCTCTTTCTGATTCTAGTAATTTATTTGCATTGACAAGGACACCTGTCTTTATTGTCTCACTTTGATTGGATGAAAGACTGCAGCAGGTTTCACTTTAAAACCTGATGCACGTGACGCGGATCTGACACGCATCTGATTTTCTCACAGTTCTTTCTTGTCATTTAGGAATTTTAACTTATTCAGGACTGTGTTGAAGTGGTTACTCACCAAAAACTGGCATTTTGACACAATTTTGTGTGTTTTTGTCGGTGAAAGAGAACTTTACTTTACTTACTTTAACTTTTAGTCATTTAGCAGAAGCTTTTATCCAAAGCAACTTACAAATAAGAAAAAGTAACTAAAAGCTAAAACTCTATAAATACTATGTATACACATTTAAGTAAATAAAATAAATTAAATAAAAATGACAAATGCATACAACAAGATTTCAAAACTAAACATTTAAATGAAAACAAAAAATAAACCTAAAAACAATTCTAAATATTAAAAGAACAAACGGTACGAGTATAATAATGATTCTAACATAACACTAAGCCAAACAGCAAAAAACAACTACATATGTGTATGTACAGCCACACACATATACATATACATGTACATATATATAAATACATTACTCTCAGAAAATATAGAATTTAGAGACTCTGTGAACCTAAAAATTATTCTAAGCTTTACTAAGATTTCGATAATTTCAAAACTAAACATTTAAATGAAAACAAAAAATAAACCTAAAAACAATTCTAAATATTAAAAGAACAAACGGTACGAGTATAATAATGATTCTAACATAACACTAAGCCAAACAGCAAAAAACAACTACATGTGTATGTACAGCCACACACATATACATATATATAAATAAATTCAATATATATATTTCATTTCCATTTAGTATGATGAAGTACTGAAATAACTCAAATTAAATGAAACTAAAACTTAATAAAAAGCCTATATAGACATAATAAAAAAACTAATAAAATGACAACATGACTACAACTGTAACTAAAACTAAAATAGATAATACAAATCAAACTACATTAGTTTATCAGTAATCCTAAAAAAAGAACACTGAGACAAACACACATGTTAAAATAACAACAACTTACTGACACGTAGTAAGAAATGGTTATAAAACTGAAACAGAAGCAAAACAAGCAATAGGAAAGAGGAGAAATAAAAAGCGATACTTACTACGGTGGAGTCGCACGGTAGAGTCGATGGTCTTTACACTCTTCGGTCTTCACATGAGGAGGCCTTCACACGACTGCTTCCGCGGTAAATAAGCTTTTTTATACCCGTCTAACAAAATACTAATCGCATTCAGCGGAACACACTTTCCTGTTAATCACAACAACTGGCCAAGCAAGCGCAGGACACTGACAAGGGACGCGATACAGTACGAAACCAAATGTGATTTCAGCACGTCTCCACACAGTAAACAAAACAAGCGTTTCCTATATTCAGTATATTTTACAAATGTAGTATCCATTATCCTTGTCTTTTTGACTTGCAGAATTTGTGTTTCTAAAGTTTGTTAAAGTTTTAAGTTTTTCTTGAATGAATGTTTCATGATTTGCTTCTTTATTCAGGACATGCACATCAACTGTAATATTTTTGTTTTTTCCTCTGTCTTTCTTCACACAACATTTTCTTAATACAATCCTCCATTTCTCTTTACATTCTGGGGAGAAAAACATTTATTAACACTAGGGTTGTTGCCTAAGGATGAAGCTCTTAGTAACAATTTATAATAAAAGCTATCACCAATTATTATATTCTTAAGATAGTGTAACCACCATTATTATGAATACAACTTCATGATGTTCCCAGGCCAATATTAGACTGCAAATGCTCTACACAATATTTGAATTTCATTCATAACACTCTGGCTCAGCACAAGATATTTCATTATTAGGGGCCAAGCACCGAAGGTGCAGAGGCACCTATTGTAATCGTTAGCGTTCTTTTTTTTCTTCCGCCGCAAGTCTATGGCAGCCCATAGAACCGCTTGCGGGAAAGTTGTGAAATTTGGCACACTGATAGAGGGCAGTCCCAACATTAACCATAGCAAATTTGGAGTCTCTAACTCAAACTCTCTAGCGCCACCTCTTGTCCAAAATTTCTAAAATGTTATGCTAATAAATGAAATGTAACTAAAATTAAAACTAAAATTATTTTTTCCTCTGATTCCTTGGCTCATGCCGAGTCGAATGGACACCAAAATTCAAAAATCGTAAGGTTTAGTTTTTTTGCTATTTTTAATTTTTCATAAAACCTACTTTTTCGAACTCGTCCTAGGCCGATGAGCTATAAGGAATGAAGTCCCAGGGT